TATATATATATATATATATATATATATATATATATAACGATGTATCTAACCAAGTTTCGAAATTGTAAGTTAATATTAAGATTAGATATAAACCATTACGTATATTTAGAACAAAAGCTATATTGACATTACAATTAGGCTAACTACTGTCCTAACTAATTCATCTATAATTATGAGCCTTGACCTCGTATTCAGTTACACTGTTATAATAAATTTTGTCAAGTTTGAAAGTTTAAGGTTTATATAGAGAGAACTACTAGCTACTAGGTCATTTCCGGGTGTTTGCATAGGTTTCACAATGGGACCTAATTTTGCCAACTGTTGCGGGCCTTAATTGGTCTATACTTTTGCGGCTTGGTGCGATAGTTCAATCAGCAATAAAAATATACGTGACCAAGTTTCTAAATTATAGATTAACATTACAAGAAGATAAAAGACATTCATATATATTTAGAACATAAGCTATATTGACATTAAAATTGGGCCCCTTTGTGACCCAAATAATTCATCTAGAATTTTGTGGCTCGGTCTCGTGTTTAGGTTTTTCTTATTGATACGTGGGGGTATTGGGATGCTAGGGGTTAAAATTTGTCGTAAGTCTTCTGGGTTACTACTTCCGACTGATTTTTACGCCTAAGCTGGAAAAAACGCGCCATCCAATATTATTATACTTGTAGTGCTTATAACAACGAGTAGCTTACAATATTAACGCGTTCTTTCAATCTAACTTTCAACAAAACAAAAAAAAATGAATTCAAGAGAATGAATTCAAAAGAAATGAATTAAAAAAAATAACAAACGGTGCTTATTGGCAAGAAATTTATTTCACCAATCAAGATTTCATTCATATTTTTGAATTTACAGATGCAAATTTGCATTAGACAGTGAGAACGGCCATACTCTCGGCTACTGCTTATAAATATTTGTCAAATAAAAGTTTGTCAAATAAATTTGTGTACTGGCATCACCATCGCAGCAACGCAGCCAGTTGCTCATTTTTCTGGTCTCATTCGTGGTTGTTGCACGTGGCTGTCTCCCATCTAAATGTAAGTATACATTAATTACTTTAAAAATGTTATTTTTTAAAAAACTTATTAATATATGTTCATTTTAAGGATCATTATCTGACATTTTATTTTTTAATATTTCAGAACGATGGGTCGCCGCCCTGCAAGATGGTAAATTAAATTTTTATTTTTTCTTTTCTTAGAAAATATGTTAACTTAATTTTATACATAACATCAAATTATTAACCTATATAATAATGTTTAGAGATCTCTCTTATTTTTCTGATCAAATCATGAGTTTTTGGTTTAGATTAAAGAAATTTTATCAGATTTTGACTTCGATCATTTGTGGTGCATTATTGCTTGAAATTGCGTTATTAAAATATAACATCTACCATTTAATATGCTAAATATATTGATATCTTTTTTGAAATTCATCTCGAAACGATTTGGTTTTCAATAATTTTTTAATAATCAAATGAATTTTTAATAATCAAATCATTTGTTAAGCCTAATCCCTAAACGTGGTTTGCCTCCATTGATCTTAATGAAATTATCTTTAGGAATTTTCACTATTAACAGGATATAATTTTTAGTATGACCTGAGTGTTTTTTCTTTCATAGTGTCGTAAACTCCAACTTTTACACGTGTTTTGAAAAAATTCTAGTACGAATAAACGATATGTGATTATGTTAGAACATTTGTTAAAAGTTACTGAAGTTCTCTGTTTACATTTAATTAATAGTTTGTTATCGCTTGCATTAATTTTTTTAAAATTAGCATAAATGTTTGGTATCAGTATTGATCTGGTTTATGTAATTTTTTTTATAGAAACAGCTTTTTGGTGTCTACTAAATTCTATAATATGCTACACTAAGGTTTATTATGCAGTAAAATTTTTCTGTTTAAAGTTTTCATAATTTAGAAAGTATGTTTCTGAATGTTAATTTGGATGGGAACATAGGATTTTTTTATTTCATGTAGTTGTGTAATTTTCTGTCTGATCATGTTGGTTTACTTTTCGGAGATTTGTTTCTTGTAATTATTGTGATGGCAATGATATAATAATTTTATCATTGTATGTAAATGATGACTGATGTGCTGTTCGTTTTTATATGGTTAAATTAGGAACTAAGTATGGTTAAATTAACAACTCTCCTGTTTTATCTCTGATTTGCTAAAGAATAATATTAAGTTATTTTAATTAGTGTTTATCTGTTGAGACAGTCAAGTGATAGCTAATAATAGCAGATCAGCTCCATCTGTTGTCCCTACAACATTTCGGCGTTCTCTAACTGCTGAAATTTAACGATGTAGCACTATGCTGTTTGTTTTATCCATAGGCAAATAAGCACGCACTATATCTACAGATTCATAATAAAATATTAATTAGATCATTGATGTTCAATCTGTTGTTTAAACAGTGTCAGTAGTCGTGGTTAGGTAGCAAATCAGTTTCATCTATTGTTCCTATAGCTAATTAAGGTTCGCTTTCTGTTTAGATTCTTGTTAGCATTTTTCTGTTTTATTTAATAGTCTAGTAAGCAACACTATCTACAAACTAATAGCATAACAGTTTGCACTCTACCTGCAAAAGAACATGAAGTTATTTTAACTAATGTTTCTTGAGAGATAGTCAAATGATAGAAAATGAAATAGTTAAATGAGTCAAATGACAGAAAATGAGATAAGTGATATTTAATAGCAGATCAGCTCCATCTGTTGTCCCTACAACATTTTGGCGTTCTCTAACTGCTGAGAATAAATGATATAGCGCTATGTTGTTTGCTTTATCTATAGGCAGATATACACACACTATATCTACAAACTAATAAAATCTGTAAGCCTATGGGATCCATCTGTTCTACCTATAAATATAGGTAGATCAGACCATTTTAAGGTTCTCTAACTGCTGAAATTTAATAATGTAGCACTAAGCTGTTTGTTTTATCTATTGGCAAGTAAGCTTGCACCACTATATCTTAGTGTTTACTATCTGTTAAGAGATCAGGGATCTGTTAGGAAGAAATTTGGGTCCGTTAACGAACCTTTCACAACATCTTTTTCATAAAAATGGACCCTTCACAAAATAATTTTTCTTTTATTCGGACCCTTCACAAATTTGTTAATTTTCATTATTGTTTTGTAATCAATAAACCCTACCCAGGTGAAAAAAGAAAGACTGTTCGTAACAAACTAAGTTTTTAAGAAAATATTTCTACTTTTACAAACATTGTGGGCGCATTCTTATTAATATTGAATCATACTTTTTTTGTAAATAAATAATTGATCAATATGTATTTATTCATAAAATAGAAAATTATGTAAATTAGTTTCTGGAAATTTTTTAAATAAAATATTAAATTTTAGAATTCTTTTAAGTTTACTTGCGTCAAAAATGATACATTATTAATTTGTGTTAAAATATGCCAATTGAAATTATTTAAATTGTGAGTTGTTTTATTTCCATTATCTGTCCAAAATTAATATTCTGTGTTGTGCAGTATAGCAGAATGTTATATTCATTTACGATTTCAAAACTTCTTGGAAAGTTTTTTTTGCAGTAGCAGGACCCTACTTTCACAAACACTTTTGAAAGAATGTTACTTAATGTTTATTTTATATTCACAAATTATGAAGTTTTTTCTCAATTTTACGTAAACAAGTCCTTTCACAAAGTGTTAGGACAGATCCCTAGAGAAAGTAAAGTTATAGCTAGTAGCAGATCAGCTCCATTTGTTGTACCTACAACATTTTGGCGTTCTCTAACTGCTGAAATTTAATGATGTAGCACTATGCTGTTTGTTTTATCCATAGACAAGTAAGCACGCACTATATCTACAAACTCATACTAAATCATTAATTAGATCATTGATGTTCAATATGTTAAAAAAGCAATGTCAGTAGATGTGGTTATCATTAGGTAGCAGATCAGTTCCATCTTGATGCTAAAGCATTTTGGAGTTTTGTCTGCTTAGATAAAATAATAGTCAAATGGGTAGCACAATTAGTGTTTGCAATCTGTTGAGCAGGTCAGCTCCATCTGTTGTCTCTACAACATTTTGGCGTTCTCTAACTGCTGAAATTAAATGATATAGCGCTATGTTGTTTGCTTTATCTATAGGCAAATATACACACACTATATCAACATCAGCAAACTAATGATTGGAAAGATTTCTGCATGGTGATCTGTGGCAGAGTAATTGCCATGCCTTGGCAATTTCTGGGCAGCGACCCATGAGAAACTTTAAAAAAAAAGGCATGGAAAGGGACTCATAAGGTGTAATACTTAGTCAAGCCTGGGCAGACATCTGTAGTTTTTTTTTTAAAAAATTGCAAATTTAAGATATATTTGGCTCCTTGGTTATTGTAGTTGGTGCTACAGATCACAATATGAAAACTTCTCAATCATTATCAGGGGTCTGTTCAGGCTGAATTTGAAAAGCTGTAGTTACACAAAATACTTTTTCTTAAAATGTTATTTTTGTATCCCTTAAGAAGCGATAAATCCATATTTTTGTGTTGATTTTTTAATATATTTTTTATTTTTCGCAAATTATGTCTAAATTTTCACAAAATGGGTACCTTTCAGAAAAACCTAGACAGACCCCTGATTAATAATCGCTACATTTTGTTTAAAAAAAATAGCTATGGGTGTGGTTATTTGTGTGGGAGAACAGAGGAAAATAGACTACTCATTTTTGAAAGAAAGATCCTTTGGTCAATTTTTGGAGCAGTTAAGGAAAGTAATGTTTGGAGAGGTTTATATAATCATGAGATATACAATATACATGACCTAATATTTTGAGGGTTACTAAGGCCTACAGGATCAGATGACTGGGGCACGTAATTTGGGTGTGAAGATTTGGACCTAGTTAAAAAAAACTTACTTTTTCTAAAATTGAAGGAATTAGAAATGGGAGATCAGATACATTATGATTGGACGGTGTTGAGAAGGACTTAAAATTGTTGGGAATAAACATGTGGAAAAATCTAGCTCAAAGCCTGAAGGCAGCTAATTGAGAAAGCCTTGGCCTGCACTAGACTACTAAGATCAGCTCTATCTCTTGGCATTCACAACAATTTGGTATTTTCATAAGTAGTGAAATTTAATGATATAGCCCCATGCCAGTGTTTCTTAACCTTTTTGATATAATAGACCCCTTTTAAAATTTTTTAAGAAGTCACGGACCACCCCCCTGTGAAAAAAATAATTTTAAGAAACATCAATTATTAGAAAACATTTAATGTTATTATTTTAATAGTTTACAGAATTTTTATTGTGAAGGTTGCTGCTGCTTTTCCTTAATTAATAAATTTAATTGGGGAATGGTTTTCGACAAAGCAACGTGCATATCATGTTCAACATTCAATCGATTTTGAAGTTATGTTTTTATTGTCACAAGTGTGGAAAATCCCTCTTTGCAAAGATACACTGTAGCAAACGGAATTATAGCTACCATAGCTCGCTTTACAAGCAATGAATAGGCTTCCAAACGTTTTAAAAATTAGGAGTAGTCAGCGGACCCCCAAAATATAACTCATGGACCCCTTAGGGGTTCATGAAGCACAGGTTAAGAAACCCTGTTCTAAAGTAAGAACTCCCCTAGACATTTGTCTGGTCCCGTGGCCATGACTATGGTAACGGGTTATAACTATTTCAAATAGGAGTGTGGGGGTCATTGTTTAGGACAGGTATTGGCTTGGTTCGGCAAACGAAAGGGAATCTTTTTGTGTTAGCCATAGAGTGAAGAGAAGCAAGCTACCCTCCCTGAAATGCGTTATTCTTGTTTCCATAACAGCAGACGGCCTCAGAATTTGTGGCAGGGGAGTTCTTACCGTAGACAAACTATATATATATTTGTGTGTGTCTGTTTTTGCAAGTCAGT